GGGGGGGGGGGGGGGGGGGGGGGGGGGGGGGGGGGGGGGGGGGGGGGGGGGGGGGGGGGGGGGGGGCATTCGGGCGTTTCTACTTTCGTGCCCAGCGGTGATCGGACTTAGAACAACAATACTATCAAGAGAGATCTTACCTCCGATCATGAGAGCGAAAAATCTGCGTGGTGCGGATGGTGGTGACAGAGGTCAGCGGGTCGCTGGCAAAGGACAAAGGTCACCAATGCCATCTACACAAGAATGTGGCGCAAACTGGAGCGCATTGGGCAGCCCTTGTGGTTCTCGCACAACAGGTGCTACATGCTGCATCCCCTCGTTCTCTTTTTCTCCTCCGCGTGCTAGGCCCCTCTTTCCCAACATTGCCTGTCCCCGCCCCTCTCCCCCTTACCCTTCAAGCCGCTTGCCCTCGCCGGGCAGCCAAACTACCAATCACTCGCCATTTCTTCCCCTTGTGCAAACCCAAAGTATTATCTCCAGCCCTGTCGCTGAATTTCATCGCAACCCCCGGAAGAGAATCGTTACTACCCTTACCCTCGCTGGGCAGCTTGGCCAGAAGCCGGGTGAGCTCAGCCTTGTCTGGGCAGTCATCCGGCAGCAGTTTGGCTAACGCGTCACACAGCACATGCGCCTGCACCATGCGTCGGATGGGCGTATTCCTGCCCCATAGCGAGCGCCAAGGCAAGACCGGAACCAACACCGGCGTATCCACAAAGGCATCGATACCACCAGTGTTGGGAGACACGAGGGGGGACGGCGCATTGATGCCGGAGAGGAGAGGGGGATGAGCGCCAGTCGAGGTGAGGTAAAACGGGCGGGACAGAAAGAGCAAGGACGGGTGAGCGAGGGCCAGGCGGTGCATTGGTCGTCCTCGTAGGCCATGGTTAGAATAAGACGAACCACACAAGGGTGATGCCACGAGACGACTCGAGGGTCTGCGTGTTGGCCAAGGGGACGGGGGTTAGTATAATCTACGCCGCAGCGAGAGATGCTCCCTGCGCGCCTCACATCGTCCCGAGTTCCTGTTTCAGTCTGCCATTTTCAGTCACCCCCTCCTTCGCCACGACATAACCCAATTCTCCGCGTATGGCCGTGGTCTGGTGCGCTTACAGTAGCCAGGTGTCGCCTACAGAAGTATACCAGAAGATGGGGATGACCGAGAAACAGCTCCACCGTCTCGTCATGATTGCCGCCTTTCCCTGCTGCTGCTTCATGTAACATGCTGCTGCTACTGTTTCCCGTATGAGGAAATATGAAAAATGCACATGCCGTTCAGCTTTGACGACGTGTTGGTCGGTGGAATCAGTCTGAAGGTTCCTCGTAGTTCAAACGTGCTCAAGCGCGACCGACTGCTGTCGCCGCACTACTGGGAGAGGGTCAAGGGAAGAGCTCCCGCAAAAAAGTTTTCGGAAACGAACAACCCAGCTGCTGGCTCCTATGTACCACAAGCAAAACACTTCACTGCATATATACATATGAGCGCGCCGTACCACCAACCCCCATACATACTACGCCGGGGAGTGCCAACAGCTGTGAGGCGGCGGAACCAACCACGGGCTCGGCAACGGCACCCATTTCCAGAGGGAGATGACGCTACAGCAGTACAATAGCAACGACGTACCGTCCCGCGACATTGGAGGAACCATCGTGCTGCACTACTGTACCCATACGCACAGGTAGGTGTAACGAACCCACCTACTGATTGCCCTCGTGGTAAGCCGAGCGGTATCACCCTGGACGCCCTTGACGATGAGCTCTGCGTTCCGCACGATATCCTCCACCTTGATGCTCTTGGGCACCGCCGCCACTTCCCTCTTCTCCCCCGCTGCTGTTGCCGCCGCAGAGGCGTCCTTCATGTCTACGTCCGCCATAAGGAAACTTGCCCCCTATCGATTTGCAGTTCCGTGCCTGCTACTGATCAGACGACGAAAGAGACGATGGAACAGCAGTGAGAGGGGTGTGAGGAGCGTTTCCCACCTGTTGGGGTGTTACCAACGTGCAGCATCCATCACCCCCATGAGAGACTGTGCCGACGTCAACTATTGCGGATCACCAAAGACTTAATGAAACCTACTGGCGAGCCTTGCAGTGGTAATCGTTCCACCGAGAGCATCGGCATCGTGGTGGCCATGCAACGGGTCGTACAGGCCTTGCTCAGCTCGACATCTCTACAGAGGTATCCTTGAGTAGGGGGATGATCTGGCGACTTCTGCGGCAACAGCCGGTGTTCTCGCAGGCCGCATTCCGTGCAGCAAAACTGTCCCACCGCGCACAACATGCTGCGTGTGCATAGAACCATGCACAATACACCAGATCTCACCTCGATACGAAGTGCTGTCTCCTTGCTCTGGCTTGTTGTGTGATCAATTGCGCTGCTGCTGCAGGCTGCGGGGGTGTGGCGCTGGGACCCCGCAACCGCGACTTGCTGTTAACCCTCAAACGCCTATGATCATCCCACGGAGCCCCCTGAAAAAACAATTTTCGCCGCATGTTGCTCCTCGTAGTTGAGGCAGGTACAGCAACCGCAGTACGGCATTGAGTGAGAAGTGAGGAAGGCGTGTAGGCGTGGAGGCACATGGCTCTGAGAGTGATTGTGGGGATACTGTTAGTGGTGTTCGTTACGGAAGAATTCAGCGCGTTCGTTACCGTTCCCACGAGAATAACTCACGCAGGAAAACAACACCCTACGACGAACGGGCTGCGCATGATGATGGGCAAGAAGGGAGGGGCTCAATCCAAGAAGAAGCGAGGGCGAGGCGGGATCGAAGACGTCGGCGTGGAGAACGAGGCTATTGGTATGGATAAGAAGGGGGGCGCTGCGGCAGAGGAGAGCGATGGGATTGTGCCTCGCCTGGTTGTTATGGACCTTGACTACACGTTGTGGTGAGACAGAGCTTGTATATTACACACACCTGGCCGACCTTTCTTAGACGTATGTACGCGCTGAAGCAGTTACCAATTGGGTTCGGCCTCGGTGCCACACCCTAGCGACGACGGTGCCATCGTCGAAAACGCTGCTGGGTGGCACTTACCCTTCACAGAAAGCAGCAGTATTGACAACAAGCCTTGACCTCGCTCCACACACCAGTTTCCTGGAAACCGTTACGCGCTATAAAACTGCCACGTTGCACCAAACAGGAGGATCCTGATGCCGGGCTGCTGGTACATACCTCAAATGCAATGAACGACAGCAGCAGTTCCTTGTGCCTGTAGACAGCTGTTATACTGCAGCAGACGGCAGTCCCTGCGTTTGGAAGCATACAGCCAATAGATTGGCAACGGCCGTTTCGCTTTTTTTGCAGCCGTTCGCTTTCACGTACACATCCCAAGGAAGATGATTGCTGGATGGTGACCATTATTTCGCCGTTTGCACGCCGTTCAGTGCAATATCACCCCATGTTCATGAACAACTACATGCAGTTTGTGATGGGCATAGAAGCCTGAGCTGAACGCGTAACGAAGGAAGGGGACGAATTTTAAACGGTAGAAGGTGGCGAAAGTGAGCAGAAGTCTCACCAGCATCACCTGAGTTGCGCTTTCGCCACCGCGCCCGTGCCACCGCGGCCAAGCGTCGTCCTCTTCCATTCACTAGGGAGTGCGGCCCAGGCTTCCTGTAGCGTCCGGCTTCATTGGCGACGAGGATGTATTAGACCCCACCACATTGACGCATATACATATCGCCGACGAGGATAAAACAAAAACAGTGAACCCACGGCAACTGGCTGCAGGAAGCCGGAGCTGTACCAGATGAGGGGGGCGCCCTTCACCAAGGAAAAGGACGGCAAGGTAAGGGATCGCTCGGGCGAGGTGATCGACCTCTTCCCCGGCGTTCGAGAAGCACTGCTGGAGGTGCACAGGGGGCATCGCTTCAGGGACACCAAGCTAGCCATCGCTTCGAGGACATCGCACGAAAGGTGATTTGAAAGATTTTGAAATACTGTGCTGTTGTTCTGTTCTACACGTGTGCAAGCGTGGGGAATTGTGCAGTCGCGTGTGCGGCTGTGGAGCGGGTGGTGTTGAGCACCGGTGACCTTCTTTAATGAGGCAAATCTCTTTTACTGTAAGAGAGAGAGGAGTAGCTCCACCCAATCTGCATGAGATACTCCTGTATTGTATCGACTTCCCAGGTGAGAACGGGCTTGTCCTTTGAAGTCTCGCAACCACATACAGAGAAGCTTTTTTTGTGAGGGCCCCCAGAACGCGTGGAGGCTGAAAATGTCGTGTTGGTATCCATAACCTTTTCGTTTGGCGTTTTGGGCATGGCACGATCGATGTTGCCGTTGCTGTAGGCGGTACCATACCGCCCGCACCGCCGCGATCATATTCTGCGCATTGATACGTTGGTGTTATCCAACACGAATCAAAAATCGTTGCGGCATCCGCCTAGCAAATGATCCCGATTGGATAAGAAACACTTCGCCTGGTACGTTTGCAACAAAATGGTTTACGCACGTCGATAATTGAATCCGAAAAATGAAGGATTCATTCATCGCATGGCAAGAACGGTGCAAGTCCAAAGGTGGATATCCCCCCGGTCTAGTAGGACCCGACGTTGCGAGTTTCTTGTCTTGATTGGTAATGTTTAACTTGGTCGTTGGTATTTTTCTATTCTAGTTGGTTGGCCTCACGCGTGGGGTGGGAGCGGTGGGCTTATGTGAAAAGAAAATAATGATGGAACGACTACGTGGCAGCCAAACCCATCTGCGATACTACGGGAATCTGTGATGCACGTTTTCCTCGCTTCCGTCGACCTGGCTCGGCTGGCTCGGACATCCTTACGCGACGCGATACTTTAAGCATGCTGCACTCGTCACCCACTATCCGAGCAACCTCGTTCGCTATTGTTTCCATGTCATGCCATGGATTTCGGTAGCTTCTTCGGGGTAAAGCTGCATTTGTATTGATTTTGACTCGGATTGTGTTCGTCTTGTTTGGGCCGTACCCTGCGTTTGTTTTCTTGCGAATAGCGGAGCTCTACAACAGGTCTTCAATTAGATGTGCCCCGTTTCAGGTTTTGGCTTGCAACGACGGAGAATTAGTTGTTTGCCGCGGAGAAGATATGCTAGATCGAGGTCAAAACCAGCTGTCCATGCGGACACATCACCAACAATGACAACACCAATAGCTGCCAGAACCCGCTTGTGTTCGGATGCAGGGAATGCTGGGCTTCACACGGGTAATGAGTGGTGTGTGTTCGAGAGTAGCAGAGGCGACGTGGTCTTTGCTTGGAGGCAGTAGCGTTCAAGCGGGAAGAGGGGCTTGTTCTCGTCCAAACTGTTCGCGAGGCACGTTGGTCTGCGACGACCATCACCGGAACCAGCCCCTAGTCGTGGCTTCTGTCGATGGCTTTTGCCACTCGTTGATCTTGGTCTGGTCGTGTCTCGGTTTGTGTGTTTGCGTCTTCCGTGTTGAAGATGCGAAAAACCAACACCAGCAGCTACCAGAAAAGGAACATGAAGCATGCAATGCATAGGCAGGTCCTAACTTAGAGAGCTCACCCGCCTCTCGCTTTTTTTTTGTTTGTCTCCGGATTCCATGCTCGTGTGTTGCTCTGTTTACAGATGGGCGCGGCAAGTTATGGGTCTCATCGAGCTTGAGCCCGGCCTCCTGATGCGCAGCGTTTTTTCCTTCACCGAAATCTACTCGGGCTCTAAGGTGTGACGGCTGACGGGACTACAACGTACGGCGAGCGAGACTCAATACAACACGAAGCGCCTGGTTTCAGAGAACACTTGTTTGAGATTAAAGTGGTTGATAACAGCACGCGCCACCCCTTAAGGACTTAGCAGTTAAGAACCTGAGCCCCAAACAATCGAAAATCTCAGAACATGGCCATAAGAACAGGTGCTCAGTTCCAACGGGTGTTAAGGACAAGAACCCGCCCTCATGGTGTACAAATGCTCACTCAGATAAGGACGGAGTCCCAAGGGCGGCTGCTGCAAAGTACGAACTCAGGCAGGTTGGGGGTAACCCAAACAGCAATTGCTTCAGATTCGAGGCGGGGGCGGGGAGAAGACCTCGTGATAAAATGATTGTACGCGCGGACGGGGAGGCGTACTCTCTTTCATGTTTTGTTGCATGCCTTAGCGGTTAGACCATTGACCACGCGTCCTCGACAGGACGGTACATTGTTCCCACAGCGCTGATCACCGATAGCCAATTGTTCCTTTCTACTTTGCCAAAAAGATGGCTGAGAACTGTTTTCCCTAGCATATCTATCCTATCGATATCACTTCCCGCCGTTTCAACCCATTTCTTGTGGCCCAGGACAGCTATCGTCTTCTCCTGTCTATTCCATGCCTCAAACATCTCTCTGTACCTTTTCCTTGTGTTTTCCCCAGCTCACGCTATTTAGTCGCCGAGGTCGTACGTTCGAATCCCCATGGGGTGAAAAATTTACAAAATTTGCGGGTGAAAGCGAAATATAGCTGAAAAGCTCTCGTGAGTATACGCTGAAAAAGTGTAGTACACGTCTCACCACGAAAAATGGGGGGACTGTCGCCATAATAAATAGGACGAAAACACTCAAACACACTTATGTACGTTTCCCTCTTTTTGTATTAACATCGGACATGCCGCAACTACACGAACATAGTCTTCGCACTCGGAGCTGCATTTACATCTGAATTTGTTATTTCCATCGTCGACCTTCCCAAAACTTCGTCTACCTTCTCAAAGGCCAATGTCCCCAGTCCTAAGTTTGACCTTCAGCTTTGTCCGTGCATTCATTGGTCCATGAAGGTACTCCTTATTCTATTCCTTCTTTATCATTCCGTACACATCTAGACCCTACTTATCCTTTGTTTCTTTTGCTAGATTCTGTCCTTCTCCCTCGGCAAAAGCAACAACAGGTAACTTCTCCTTGAACACCTCTAGACCATGCGTGTCCAGTGTATTGCCTTCGTCGATTCCGGACCTCTTCCATGCGTCATCTACCGCAGCAACCCATTCCGTAGGTTGGTACACCAATTCTTCTTGTTTGCCCACTTCGCCTCCTAAAATATTCTTGGCAACCTTTCTTCTCCCATACCGTACATGCGGTACTGTCATCTAGGGGGCGATTTTACGACTACCATTGTACTCGTGTAGTGCCTCGTGATAAAATTCACCCCGAAACACCTTTGTCCTGCGCATCGGGCAATCGGTTTATAAATGAGAACAAGAACCCGGTTTATCATAGGTGGATGACTGCTCGAAATATGAACTGGGAACATAAGACGATGTGCTCGGCTGGAAGCAAACAACAAGCGTTGAGCCTCAAGCTAAATACGCGGTTCTTATGTGGTGACGCGTTCTGTAGGTTTGGCCGGGGACGGTTTTCGCATGTGACCAAACCCTTGGATGCGGCACGGACCGGGGCATTTTGCACCGAACGCTTGCCTTCGGAAACCTTGCTGTTCTCTCAAGCAACGCACCACACAACAGTGGGTGTTCGGTCGGTATTCTGGCAGCCTTCTTCTGGGACATGGGTCGAATCTCTGCGCAGTCAAACAAAGTTATTTTTTCTCACCATGTGCCGAAACAGTGCCAAGCCTGATTTCATGATCGACGAGGGAAAGGAACGCCTGAATCCTTTTCGCGTTAGAAGCCAAGGCAAGCACCGTAGAAGGAAGGCGGAGAAATACTTCTGAGAGGCATTCATTCCTCCTGTGTGATCGCGACTGGTGCGTCCAGAAAGTATTCCGACTGTTGCAAGACGAGAAGTCCCGAATAAACGGCACGGCAACAATAAAAAAACGGAGCAAGTGCAATGGCGTGTGCACACAGAACCTAGGCTTCATCCCTGCAAGCTATTGCTGCTGGCGTTGTTGCTGAAATCGTAGTGTTGATTCCTTTGATTTCACCTCTTGAACACCATTGGCCTCTCCACCGGTAGCACCATTACACCCGGGACGTGTCTGTAGCAGAAGAACTATAGTGCCAATACCCTGGGGCGTCATACGGGCGTGTGCCGTCGTCCTGCGGAAACATCGCATGTACGAAACCTTGTTTCTCGCGGTCGGCCCTGCTCGTGTGTGCGAAAAAGGTTCGGCACTTCGGGGAGATCCGTCGAAACTCGAAAGTTCCATACGAGGAAATGATTTTCTTCGACGATTGGGACCAGAACTGCAAGGACGTGGGCAAGCTCGGTGTCACCTGCGTCGAGTGTCGGCGGGTGAGAATTATTGGTAGATCAGAGTGACCGGTTTATTTCTTGAGTCTTGCTTTCTGATTTCTGATGTGCAAAGGTTTGAGTGAAGGTGGTTTCAACCTTTTGGCGTTGGGGATGTCAAACCATACATGCTGGGAAGTAAGCAAAACTTTCGGATTGCGATATGGTGGGAGGATTCTTAGGTAAAGGCTGCCTCAAAGACTTTTATTTTGGTTCTGGGTGAAGTGCGTTTTTTTTTACACATGTAGGCTGCCAATAAGTAGCTGGGTGGCGTATCCGCGGGTGCGTTGTTCGTTCATCCCCGTTTTGGGCTACGTGCTATTGCCCAAGAGTGTTTTTTGCGGTCGTGTTCTTCGGGCGCTGTGTCAGCAACCAATCACGCGTCTATTATTTTGATACTACCACGGGAGGGCGATGAGTTGGTTAGATCTCCCAGACTCTGATACCGGGTGGCTTGAGTGTGCAGGCTTGCCTCCTCGCGCTGGGCCTGCTGTGAACCCTCTCTCCTGCTGACTTCACCTGCAACATACGGAAGCGCCCGCGGCCCTGTCTCCCACCCAGGACCCCGGCTTTTGTCAGTGCCGGGCGCACTGTTATTCCAGTGCTTCCTGATAATATGCTCTGTTCTTGTTTCATCTGGCTGCCCGCGCCATATCACGAATAATCCATACAGAAGTGGAGGTCCCCGAATTCCGCGGTGGTGGGGCAGCTGAAAACGATCGCCTTACATGGGGCAGCCGCCTTATTCAATGTGTAGAACATCTAGATTATTCCGTCTACGCCAGCCAGTTTCACTCGCCTTGTATAGGGCGATCGCCTTTTTCGTGGACCCAACTGTATCTGGAACATACAGTTGTGTCTCACCTGCAGCCGTTTTACCCTCCCACCCCGTGGCCTCTTTTTGCGGCGGTTATACCTCATCGCTGGCAGCAGCTGAGCGTGTTCTACCGATAGTCGTTTCCCCACGGCAGACCGATAATCTGTGACCCAAATCTCGTTCCCCCGCCCTACAAAGACTCTCCTCCACCCGTTTTACCGTTTTTCCGCGAAACCTGTGTCACAGGGTTTGATTCGAGAAGTGTGGACCCGGGGACTAGCCAAATTTGCTGCAGCTAAAGAGAGCCTGAGGTCGTGACAACGGGTGTTCTTTTTCAATTTTTGCTGAGACGCTTGGTAATGGCCCGTGGCGGTGGGGTGGGGTAAGACGAGTGACATAAAATAGCTCTTGCACCCATCCCAATCGAAGGCAGGCGGCGAGGCTGGTCGTTCGTCCAACATGCTTGGATACGCATGTCAGATATGTCAGGCGGGGAGAACACCCTATGCTGTGCACTACTGTTGTTTAGCGATATTTTAGTCATCGGGATGCTTGCGCCCCGATCGGGATCGCGATATTTTTTTGTGCGAATGCACTGCTTTGTGTTGCTACCACGTGTGTTGGTTCACTTCTCTATGCGACCCACCTACGCTTACTGTGGGTTGGGTCCATTTGTTTCCAAGATATTGCCGACAGCAGCTAAAACGACCTCACGTTCCGAATGTGCCCAAAGTTTTTTTTTGCTTTTGCAGCCAAAGGGAGATGATGCGTATCCACTTCACTCGTCTTTGAAGTGTGTGCTGTTCACACCAGATTGACTGCTGTACGTCGAATTTTCAATCATACATACGACCTACTCCAGGCACGGTGTATGAAACCTGAAGTTTCGCTGCGACAGCAATAAATGACGGCTGCTCAAGCATAAGGGGTCTTGAAATCGTGTAAGCTACAAGGAAATGTCTTCAGTTCTGCGAGGTTCGAGGCGTGGGCTGAGGTCTGCTTTTAAGAGTCGATAGGTCAATATGGGGAGGGCATTTTTCTTACACCAGAACTGACTTTTTCATGTGTGTGACTCATGCTCGCATGGCCATCACCCTCCTGACCGATCGACTCTTAAAAGCAGACTTCAGCCCACGCTGCGAATCTCGCAGACCTGAAGACTTTTCATTTTACTTTCACGATTTCAACACCCCTTGCCGTTGTTTGAGCCGCTGCCGTTTGCGGTGGCGGCGAAACTTCAGGTTTACATAGTACACCGCCGTTCTGAGTGCTGTGACATGTTTATTCCTATACTCTGTAACCACGTTTTTCTGAACGTCCCACGAATACGACCGATGAGATGCCTTGGACGTCCCAGCTGGACGTCCTACGCGAGTTAGCGCCCAGTCGCACACAAGCCAAACAGATGCAGGCAATAGAACGCACCATCTACATGGGATGCGGCGATCAGTTGGGAAGCTGTGTTTCCTGCCAGATGATTGGTAAATGGCAGGTGATGGGGGTGCCATCCGTCGGCGCGGATGTCCAATGGGACGGCACAAGTGTCCGATTGGATGCCCCACGTGTCCCATGGAACGTTTTGGACGTCGAATAGGAACCCTCGTGGGGTGTCCAACGGCATGTCCCATGGCGTGCCACGCCATTGGACGTTAACGTGTTCCATTGGACGTCTGACGGCCCATGGGACGTCCAATGTGTCTCATGTGACGTCCCACGTCCAAATTGGACGTCCCGCGCGTCCCATGGGACGTTTTTGCCGCCGTCCAATGGTGTCCCATGTGACGTCCAACGTGTCCCTTGGGACGTCCAATTTGAACGTCCAACATGAAGTTCCAATTTATGTAAGTGCGCCCACGAATGATTCTCAGAAAATCGAACAGTGGAAGTCTTAGTGTGCACTGCCGCCCTCAGCGGTCTGTGGTGTTGAGACAGGGTACTATGTTATCCCAGGAACAGCAGATGAAGAAAAGGAACATATATATTTCTCGTCAAGCAAGCCCCTCAGGCAAGCTGGTCACCAACACGCAAGCCCCTCAGGCAAGTGCCGGGAGCACACCGCCGTGTGTCACCCGGGGGGGGCGCACTTGGACCCCAACCGCAAACATACCCATCACACCCCTACTTCCCGTACGCGTATCCCCCACGGAGGGTGCACAGATCGGACTCATATCCAAGTACCACAAACAGGAAGCTTTCATTATTTACATTACATGCACGCAACGTTTTTCCCGAACGTACCCATATATACAAGGCTCCCCTTCGGGAGTTTCGCGGTTTGCCTCCCGGATGTGACGCAAGAGGACGTGGCCAATGTTTCACGGTGTGCATCTTTTCATCTCAACGTTTGGTAGTGCCAACTTCCGTCGAAACTGCAGAATATCTGGCAGCGCATCATTTGCCTGGGGGGAACTTGGGTTTCTCACCGTGACCTTTTTAGCGTCATGCGTGAGCGTGTGTGCGCTTTAGCATAGCGGCGTCATTGCCAAAGATCCTGCCGTTGTAACCCCGTGTTGTTGTTCACTTTCTCACTTCCGCTTTGCAATGCGTTGCTCATGGCGTGTGTGTCGCGCGATCGAGTCAAAAGGATGTCTTGTTCTTGTATGGAAGAAAGCAAGCCCTGCGAAGGGTTTCGTGACGCGGAACGCGTCGTAGGGTATAGAGCCGGTCCCCGCGACTTTTGGCGTCGATATCACGCATCACGGGTGCCTGGCGACCCTCGGGTGTGCGCGGTGTGTATTGACGAGTCCCGTACGTGAGAAAAGGATTGCTGCCAGGCATCAAAAAGAATATCTTTCGTGAGCGAAAGATGTACCGAAGCACAAGCAACATCGAAACCACACGCATTCATAGCATCTGTATGTGCTCCTCGATTGAGTCACGCCCTCTCAACCCCTCGACGCGATGCACAACGTGAGGTCCTCAAGAGAGGAAGTGCTTCCCAGGCGCCCCACCCCAAGGAAGCTTGCGAACGTCTGAGTCTATCGTACGCTACTCATACACACACAGCAAAACGGCTCACCCATCCCCGTTTCCTCCATGTAGCATGAATCAAAGGACACCACAGGATGTCGTGTACTGTTAACTATTTGCCAAAAACTTTCGCGATGTGTGTGTGTTTTCGTCCTATTTATTATGGCGACAGTTCCATTTTTCGTGGTGAGACGTGTACTGCGCTTTTCAGCGTATGTAGAGTACCACACTTTTCAGTGTATTTTTCGTACAACTACAACCATCCAGGGTCACACAGGAGGGGGTAAACACCAGGGCTATTTTCTTATTATTTCTTTTCATGCCCCACCTTCCTCCTGCGGTGCGTGGTGAATTTTATTGTTATCGCGAGAAGGGTCCAGCGGTCCCTTTCCCTCGTCAACGGTGCTAACNCCACACTTTTCAGTGTATTTTTCGTACAACTACAACCATCCAGGGTCACACAGGAGGGGGTAAACACCAGGGCTATTTTCTTATTATTTCTTTTCATGCCCCACCTTCCTCCTGCGGTGCGTGGTGAATTTTATTGTTATCGCGAGAAGGGTCCAGCGGTCCCTTTCCCTCGTCAACGGTGCTAACGTCGAAGTTTGGTACTCACCAGGGCTTGTCAGCTATATTTCGCTTTCATCCGCACATTTCGTAAGTTTTTCACCCTATGGGGGTTCGAATCTACGTCCTCTGCAACGACTAGACCACCGGGGCGACCGGTGGGGGGGGTGCGAGGATACATGATGATCATGAAAATGACACCCCCGGCTCATGCCCTGAAAATCTTACAATTGCATTGGGCGGGCTTGCTGTCGACTTGGCGTGTACCAGGAGACGACGCGGTGGGGAAGTAAGAACTAGCGTGTTGATTCCCTCACCTGGTCCCGTCTCGAAAGATCACGCCCAGTATTCGTTCAAACTGCGCTACAATAACAGACTCGCACCTCACCAGCCAAAAAAAAAGTCCCGCCCCAACACCGACAAGCCCCAGGACTACTTCAAAACATGGCAACGCTGCTGTGTTCTTCGCCTGGTCTATCCCGGCAGATCAGCGATAAGTGCTTCTCCAATATGTTGTTGTCCCCACCCCCCGGCACCATTTTGCCCATTTTGTCCAGTTTTACCTTGGAGGCGCCGGTATCACAAAAATACGATAGAAGACACTGCTGTTTTGGTGGTACGATTCGTCGTCAAAACTGTTTTTTTTTCGCAATGGTACTTATAGATACGGGTCGTCAACACACGCACGTAATCACACTACGACTTGAGTTTGATACTCCCACCCTATATATCGTGCCTAACCCCTCCCCTTAACCATTCGATCGAGCGTGCCTTCTACACACAGGCGTCATGCTACTACGGCACACAACACGAGAAAGAACACAGTGTTACTTGTCCTAAGGTGGAAGCGGAAGTTACCTGGCAGAAGCACGCGCCAGTTTTGAGCAGCCAACACCGCCAGTAGAACTTTCTTCGTGTCCGCCAAAAGCATCGGCGGAATTTACAAGTGCAATGCGCTGAGGACTTGCGTGACCCACGGACCCGCTGCAAACAACGTCGAAGGTTGTCAAAATATATGCTGCTATCTACTGTCGTCGGCATCCATGGTGCTTGATGCTCTTTGGCGCCGCCCGCAGGACTGACTCTCAAGCTCGCCACGACGCAACCATAACCCTCAAAGCAATCAAAATACTACTGCGTGCAACGCTTCTACGTTTATTGGGTTTGTTCTCTCTCACGAGCAATAATGGCACCAGATCCTCTCATCCTCTGACATCACTCCAAACCAGACACACGCAACGCAAGACGCGTTTCTCCCTCGGCTGATTCTGCTTCGACCTACTGAACGAATGGTCGGGCGCGTGTAAACCGCGTCATCAACGAGTACAACCTACGACCGGCAGACCAAACACTCACGTACACGATAGTACATAAACACAGAAAAGGTACATAGCTAGCGCTCATCGTTTGCGGGAAAAAGCGTCCGCTTACCAAGAGAAAGATAATCGCGCGAGGTATTCCTATCCCTCCTACACCTCAACTACAACGTGTGAAACCGGCAACCCGGTTGGGAAATAATGAGCACACGTAGAAAACCGTCACAAGTCGACTTTCGGCGACAAGTGCTTCAACCATACAGCTCTCTAGACTACACGCGCACAGCCCTCGCGAACCATCATAATACTAAAGCAGAAACAGATGGTGCTGTTCCTTGCAGAATGACAAGGACAATACGAGCAGTCTCATATGAGAGAAAGACAACGGCTCTTGCACTTGAACTCGTACAAACAATTGGCAATCCGGAGGGGGTAGAAACAACGAACACAAGTGCGGTACCAATTGAAACTTACGAACCACTTCAGGCGAAAGATGCTACAACCAAAGAGCTCTACAGACTATATCTGTGCACACCCCTCCGCCAAGGAACAATAACAAGTGGCGCTGTTCCTTGTAGAGCAACAGCGACAACACGTGATGTCTACTGACGCCCCATGTTTACCGAGATACTACTCCTCTCACCCCCGATATTCTCCACCAGTTTACAAACATCACATCGATCGTTCCAACGAGTTCACCAACGAGAGACGCCAATCGTGTTTGTCCGTGTGTGTCTTTTTTAGTAGCATCGACCGCCGTAACCAGCTGACCAATGCAACGACGTGTGTGTGTGTGTGTGTGTGTGTGTGTGTGAGTACCAAGCTCGTCAGCTGGGGTTCTTCCTGCCTGAGAACGGTACCACACGAACAGACTTGAGATGGACAAGGGCACGCACCACATGCAAACACATTTTGTTGTTCTTACCCGACGAACAAACAAAATGTAATTAGGACACATTTTCCAGCCCAAACCGAACACTACAGGAACTGTTCAACGCGGTTGCATGAACCCAATCAGAGTGTGTCGGAGTTAGCATATCCATCGACCAAGGTTTCACATTTCATACCCAAGATACATCCCGAAAGAGCACACGACCTCTACCCTCACGACGTCGCACGTTCTCATGGGCATACACCAATGAAAGCAGTTGAAAACAAGTCGCGAAGATGCACCCCCAGCACACGAACGACAAAAATGAGCGACAACGACAACTTTCCCTATACAATATCAACTTCGAGAATAGCATACACAGCCAGAGCGACAGCAACACCTTCCGCCGCTAGAGCAAGTACAAGAGAAGATAACCAAAACGTCGCGGCGTCGGCAATACCGCGTAAAACGTCCGGAACGTTTCCGGTAGGTTGTCTGGAGCCCCGACAAGCAGAGACGAAAGGAGTCCAACGGGGTTTCACCGTTTTCCCGGCCCATTTGGATTGCTTGCCATGTCTCTGTCTAGATATTTGCGCTTGCGCCTGCCCTGCTCGTTCGGCGCGCGCGGACACGATCAAGATGGAAACACGCGATTCGCACACAAGCGAACGTTATGCAACATGTGCCTCTCTTTGGATGAACGCATAAAAAAGTACAGGCGTGTTCCGGGTTAAACGTACTGGCATCCGGAAACCTGCCGACGGGGTGGGTGATGATGACGAAGGTGCGCCAATCGAAGCGCGATCTCGCTGACACAACAGCAAAAAACAAGGGTGACAACAAGGTCATGGTCGTGGAACTCTACTCGTTGATTCCTTCATAAAGGAGCACCAGAATTCAACCGAGGGGCATGCTCCGTTCAATCAAGGTCAAATCTAGAAGACAACACACGTGTCCGAAAATCCTGATCAAAATCCGAGAACACGTATGGTCCATCCAAGACAATTTGTCCAATGACGGTTTGTGCGATAACTTTCGAAAAAAATCGAATGGAAACTTGAAACAACTTTGGCCGTGACGGCGGCGTCGGGTTTCGTCGATATCCCGTGAGTTTTTTTAATTCTGGTGTTTTGCGACATTTTCGGCCCAAACTGATCCACGGTGCCCCCTAACCCCCCATACCCTCATCATATCATGTCACGGAACCCCCTATACCCCCCTAGCCCCCTTCAACACTTTAACCTATACATCTGAATGTGCAACGGCCCTGCTTACCTCGCCATGACGGCACGCAAAACACCCACCCCATAAACGATGGACCATACTGCTGCTGTACATGACACAACCAACACTCGACTCTTCGTTTAACATGAACCCGCGGCAGATACTAGCGCCCGAACTACGAAGTAACGCTGCCCTCTAGCTACCGAGGGTAATCCGAAAAACATTCGGCAGGCATGCCACAAAAACCGCAATCTCTAAAAATGATTTGCACATGATCGCCACAAATCAAACACACGGACTCAAACCAACTGGACACCTGGCTATCCCCCGCGTGCGCACGTCCGAGTACCGGAGAAATTATTCAACAGACAAAAATACAAATATCTCGCGAACGGGAGCTTTTTTGACAATCGAAAAAAAAAAACACCCGGGGATTTTCGAGAGGAATCGATTGCCGCGGTCTATTTTAAAATCGTACGGTTGAATATCGCAGGAAAAACCAAGCCGAATGGGACCCCAGATCAAGTTTTTCGTCCATAACTTTTTTTTTTTCCCTCAAATCGAAATCGGAAAAAAAAAAACACCTGGGGATTTTCGAGAGCTATCGAAATCCGGTCTCAGAATTGTGCTCTGAGAAAAACACACCCCAGGAAAAACCAAGCCCATAATTCGGGATATTTGGAAACAACGAAGAAGCGGAACAAAAAATAAAAATCGCTTTCCGTAGATCGATGCGCCTGGAAACAGGGCGTTTGCCGGTACTTTCGGATTTCGGAACAACCACCTGTGTGCAGAGAAAAGTGCACCTAAATGCCGGACTGATCTTCGGACAAATTGTGTTGGATGGACCATACGGTGCTGCAGGGATTTTTAGGTGTTGTACCTCTTCGGGCTCTTGGATACCTTTTTCTCGTTATATGTGTGCGNACCACCTGTGTGCAGAGAAAAGTGCACCTAAATGCCGGACTGAACTTCGGACAAATTGTCTTGGATGGACCATGCGTACTGATACATTTGGCGGTATCCCGTGAGTCCTGTGTTGTGTATGCACGTACACGTGCGTGGTCCTGTGCAGACCATCTCGCGGCAAGAGATACCCTTAATGTTACCAGGGGCAGCAGCGTCCTCAAACCTTGCTCTGTGCCGCCATATGTCCATGTACAAACGTGCTTTCAGAATACATATTTTCGGAACGAAAACGAGCCCTTGGCCCCCGACCCCCGCCGGCCTCCTACCCACCTGATCGAGTTAACTCACCCAAACGACGAGCCGGGCCTGTCCATGTTACGCCGACGGGGTAGGAGTTCGGGGAACGTTTGTCCGCCGTGCTTGGAGTCGTCCATGCCGGCCAGCTCCTCCTGCTTGGTCACACGGATGCCTGTTCAAGAACAACCGGAAAAGCAAGAAAACGCGCCGCCGCCGCCGCCGCCGCCGCCGCCGCCGCCGGGCGACCCAGCGTAATGAGACGAGCCAAAGGTGGCAGGGAAAATGACGCTTCCTACTTGGCACTTTGAGGCGGGGAAGGCTGCGGTCGTTGTCGGGCAAAAAGAGAACAACAGGAAGCAAAACATTGGAATACAGGCTGCTGTCGTTTTTTTGCAAGCCTGTTGCTGTGGTGGTGGTAGTGCTGCTGCAGCTGCCTTTAGAGTTGGTCCTGTGTTATCCCGGGGCAGAAATATTGACAAACCGACGAAGCCCACTGCACGCCTCAGCGAACTGTCACGAGGGTACTACGAGGGGTCGAACAGCAGGAAACAGTTTATCCCTTTGTGCGCAGTAGATTGTCCCGATCAACCTGCACACGTGACAAGCACCACCGCCACCAGGCAATAGGCAACAGCCCGGCACGTCCAGCAAAACAGGGGGGGCGGGGGGGGGGGGGGGGGGGGCAGCTGATCCTGCAGCCACTCCGTCTGNAGTGACGGATGCATCGATGTAGTAGCGTGGCTTTGGGACGTGTTCTCCTCTGTCGTCCACATCGCCAACAACAGCAGCGCCGTCTAAATCCCTCCCCAACTACCTGCGGTACATGAGCCCATATTTTCCTGCTGCTATTCTACCTCTCGTGTCTCGGTTTCTTACTCTCCCGTCCGTCTCACCTATAGTCAACTTCGTCACCACGAAGAGCAAGAGGGTCAGAAAGCCCACCCAGGCCACCACCGCCATCAAGAAGATGATGTTCGCCGCGAGAGAGCTGCCGCTGCCTCCGTACAGAATGCCGGCGCACTTGTCCGACCTATCCTCGGAGTAGGCCATCGCGTAGGCGAACTTGGACGAGAAAAGACCCGCCGAAACGAGGCCCCACATGCCTCCGAAGAGGTGCACGGGGGCGGCGTTTACGACGTCGTCCAACTGGAAGGTGGAGGGGGCAGTTGTTGGGAGCGGCGCTCAGTACGTTTATGGAGATCGAGGGCTCCAAAGGTTGCTTACTACCTTGGAAATGGCGTCGGAGGTCTTGTATTATAGTCGATGGGCCCACAGACACAGGTTTGACCAGTTAGTAGTACCTGTGGGCCTTCGAAGGGCACGCCTACGCGTGATATCATTTCTTTGCCACTTGGCGACCCCTGAGATATGCCGCCAACCTGTCCCGGGCGACTATCATGATCATGGCCCCCAATGTGCGTGACATCGTCGCAGGCTACCTGCCGTCCTGTTCTTGCCTGCCACAAGGAAGAGACCTTTGTTGATCCTCTGTCTACTGTCCACGCACACCTTGACTCGCATAACAGATGAAACGTGACGATGGCGGGAACAAGTAGACCAATCCCGAAGCGGTTAACAAACACGCCTCTCGCCTAAATATCTATGGAAGGGATTGGTGCAACCAAAGATGGATCATTCCCATCTCTACGACCTCCCGAAAAACACCGCAATAAGAACTGCTGACGGGTGTTGACGATAAATTGATACTTGGAATTACATGAATTTTCCCCTCTTTTCGACTTCTCACAAAACAAGGTACAGTTGAGGTCTCTGTTTAGTGCCGGGGTGTGCGCAAAAATTTCACCGGCACTATACCGGGCACCGGCACTATTCAAAGTACAGACTTGATATTCCAGTGTGTGCGAGCCGAAAACACCGGCACTATACCGGCAACCGGCACTAACAGGGACCTCTACTGTAATGAGAACGTGCTCATTTTGGGGGAGTTAATGTCGCGTCTTCAGTGAGTCTTCAGGGAAAATGAAAACACTCCCCCGAAGAATAAGAGCAAAGGGAATGGCCGTGTACCAGACCCTCATTGCAAAACATGTCTCACGTGGTTCCTGAGCAGCAAGTTGGACGCGAAGAAGTACAGCACACCGCCCAGGGCGCCCACGACGAAGGCGCCCTCGGGCTCGTAGGTCCCCGAGCCGGCGGTGATGGACACGAGACCGGTGAGGATGCCGTTCAAGGCGCTCCCGGTGTCCCAGTACCCGCACTGCAGCTTGTTGACGAGGAGGGAGGTGATGCCGCCGGAGGCACCGCCGATGACCGTGACCCCCATCACCTGTAACAACCACGACATCAGCAGCAGTGATTCCGTTCACGGCGGGGACGGGGGGGGGGCGGGGGGGGGCAATACATCAGGGTTGGCGAGAGGAATTTGTAGGGATACAAGCGCGGGGGGGGGTGCGAAGATGTCTGGTAATAAACACAACAGACACAGACACGGACAAAAGGTTCGCAGAGCGCGCGTCTATGCGATGAATGAGCTGCTCGGGGGGGGAGAGGGGCGGAACCAGAGAGTAGAGAGATGCCTGTCTGGGCCGGTGACATGAATCGCACCGTTTCGTGCGCCAAGAGCGGGGAAGGACAAGGGGAGGGGGGCATACTGACCATGACGGTCATTGATCCTTAGCACCCGTTTGGGTTTCGTGGCTCGCTATTCCGCTCCGGGTGAGGTGCGCACACGTTGTGCGTCTTGCTTTTGCAGACTATCCACAGTTCATCCAAGCATTAACCAAGTCGTCGACCATATTGTAGGTTGCATAAGTTAGCATACCCCATGGACCGATTTCAAAGGTCGATTCCTCTGCGGCACAGCGTGACGGTGCCGAAAATGCGGCGTTGGAACCGTCTCGTCGAGGGCTTTGCGAAAATGCATCATTTCATCGCGGCATTATCTTGGTCGTGGTGAAGTCGAGCTTCAACAATTGATCCAGGTGGGGGGGTGATTTCTTACGCAACCTACGGAGTCACCGGTGGGGAGGAGGTGTTTTTGCGTCCGGAATATGTTTGTATGGCTGTTGAAAGAGACCCCCCAGGGGAGAAGAGACAGAGTCAGGCTCAACGTGCGTGTGTTTGCTCGTGGTTAAGCAGCGAAGGAGGGCTACGAGCACAAGCAGTCAGAGCGAGGAAGGAGTAACGTGAGAAAGGCTTCGCTCATAGCCGCGGCGAGACAGGGGAGACAGATCACGAGTTACCGCAACAATACCGGGGAGGACAAGAGGGGTGAGAGGGATGTGTGTGTTGCTGGAGATGGAGCGATGGAGAGGTTGGCCGAGTCAAGTCAGGTGGCCGGCGATGGCGAGCATAGCAATGCGGCCGATACAGAACAAGAGGAGGATGAGAAAGAGAGCGTGTTTAATTGTAGCCTACGCATCTCATTTTCTTCGTTCTCGATTTCCCCCCTACACACCTTGGCAGCCACGGCCGGTGTGGCCACGAAAGAGAACACCGACCCCGCGTTAAATCCGAGCCACCCCCACCAGAGCATGAACGTCCCTAACGTCTGCGGAGGGGAGGTGAGGGGAAGCGCAAGGGGGGTGACGTCAGAACAAAATGCCCGAAACGGGTTCGGAGGGGGGGGGGTCACCACCAGCGCCTGGCCAGCACAATCGGGGGAGGAACAGATGCACAAGCACACACAGTTTATTTTTGCAACCTAGACGAGAATCAGAAAATCAATCGCCGAAGTTTCACTTGGAACCAACTGCTGGCTACCGGCCGGAATATTAGCAATTTACAAGGGCAGTGGACGCGGGGGGCTACCACCTCCCTAGTCCCCCGTTTAAGAGTCGATGCGCACACGAAATGAACGGCATGACCTATTTATGTGATGAGGTAAGCCAGCGTTTTTTTTTACAAATTTAAAACACATACCAAGTGGGACGGGTGTTCGTTCCGGCAAAAGAACGATAGACGCGGGTTCGAAGTCGAGAGAAGCGTGCGTCATCATGCTCTCATGCTCTCTGTATACACTGAGGCTACCGGCTTCTCTGAAACAAAATGACAATTGTTGAACAACGGTTGAAGCTTGTGGCGCACACCCTGCTGTATGTGTGTGCACCTGTCTGTGTGTGTCCAAGTGTGGCTTGAACCAAATAGCCATAATAGCCGTGCGACTACAGTAACATACAGCAGCCATCGTTTTGCATACATACACGCACCCCGTGTCGTTCTCCCGAACTGCAGCAGAGAGATCCAGCACACAGAACTGATGAGAGACATGAGCAAGTAGCAATTTATAGTGTAGGCTTCCAAAAATCTGCAGCGGCTCTCTGAGGTCGTCGTGGTCAAACTCTGTCGAGTGAGCTAGGTGCAGCATGCCAATGCAGCACAGCTGTGGGCCTGTCCTCCGGGACGCACAAACGACCCACAGTCCGCTTGCTCGAGTAACACAAAACCTAAACTTTGTAATGTAATGCCCCCCAAAAGCCAAAGACAAGAAGGCGAAAAGCCAGTAGTCACCCGATAGATGTAGATCCTAAACACATGCTAGCCTACCTGGAGCACTGCGGACTGTTGGGGCATGGTGTTGCTGGTGCCGTCCTCATTGAACCTGCCAGCGCGAGGGCCGAGGATGAAAATCCCCATGAGGGCTGCCATCCCTCCCGTCACCTGAGGAAAAGACGACAATTCAGTCTCGTTGATGGCCACAACTTACCGTGTCAGCATCGCGTGTTGACGGCGCCATCGTCGTCACTGGCTGCCCACCAGACGAATTCACAGGAGCATTTCTTAACTTCAATGTCGCTGGCGACGCAACTTGCCTCGGGCACCGTCCTAAATCCTATTTACGAGATTCTCGGTATCATCTTCGAGGTGGAATCGTTGCCATGCGCATTATCGCCATCGACCGAAGCTTAATCGACAAGCCAGGGCAAACTCTAGCGCAGCCACACGCACAGCAGAGAGTCATCCTCACATCAAGCTGCACATCTGAACGAAACTCTATTCAGGGGACCCGGCCGGTGGCATGGAGAACCCCAAGCGAAACGACAAGGGGACAGCAGTGTCGCGAGAACCCACATGTACGACGCCGGAGCCGGCGAAGTCTGTCACACCGCAACCGAAGAGGAGGTCGTCGTCGTCTGCACGCCGGGCGCTGGCCCAGCCCCCGTCGGACCAGGCCCAGTGAGCCACGATGGGATCTGCAAGAAAACAACGACACAACAGCAACAAAAACGCGAAACAGAAGAAAAAAAATGCGAGATACATTTTTGAAAGTGCAACCCTCATGCGCCCGGTTTGGCAGTTTCGCTATTTGGATGTTGGCAGCAGGGATGTTGCAGTCGCAACGCCGTCTCTCTTCTCTCTCTTTCTCTCTGCATCTGCCTCTGCCTCTGCCTCTGTCTCTCTCTCTCTCTCTCTCTCTCTCTCTTAATGTATCTATCTCCCTCTCATGCGTGTCAAGAGAGTTGGCCTCTGAGGACCATTTGCAAAATCGGATCTCTTCAATTCGAGAAGCAAGGCAGCAAGGTTAACTAGGAACTGCGAGCGGCAGTGAACATCTGGGGATGAAGAAAAAAGAAAACGGATGGCAGGTAGGGTCAGCGCTTCTTCGATCAAACAACTTGAGCGCAGCAACGGACGACGCGTTGTCGTGCGGAGGCCACGCAACAAGAATGGTACGGTACCAAACGGAGCTTGATCTGCCCTCACGGGATACACTCCTTCCGTTGCCTATACTGCCTGGCTGAACTGTGTTCACGTGTGCACACCCTCTTGACACCACCCGAGCCCCATACCACTCACATATGAAGGACGTCAGCAGGAAGGAATGCAAGACGTACGCTCCAAACGTCGCGCGCTCCGCCATTGCGCCGGACACTATTTAGACAATTGTCGACAGCAAAATGGACAGACCAGACGAGCCAACGAAATTGATAGAACAGAGCGAGAACGAGACAAGATAGGGACAATCATGCATCGTTGATGAACTGATGTTGTTGACAATACTTTGATGTGCGGTCGTTGCTGTTTGCTATTGTTTCTGCAATTCTTGCTCTTTTGTTTGTTGCCTCCGAGCACCACGCGGTAGACGCCAAGTAGCCGAGATGACGGAAGCAACACTGAGACAATTTCATTATCCACGGCAGCAACACGCGTGCTTCATGGAACATCGCCAGCAAGAACAAATGAGGGTTGTGCTAAATAGGCAAAATCAAAACTTGACAAACAAGAGGGGGTGTAAAACCCAGCGATACGGCAAACCCACACCAGGTAGAAACCCCAAAAAGTACAAAGTACGACGAGAGTATTTCGATTTTTCGATACATCGAGGGAGTACACCACGACCACCCACAAAGGGAGCCAATATACCGGTGACGTCATGTTTTTGTGTGTGTCGAATCTATGCGTTCTTCCTGGTCTGCAAGTTGTTACTACAGGTGAACGACGCGAGAGCCATGTGCATGCCGACGAACATCAACATGGTTGAGGGGACGAAAGTTACGGATCGCCTGCCTCATCGGTAAGCCAACCGAAATAATTCCTCCAGGTGCCCACCTGTCCGAGGGGTGTGCGGGCCTCGCGCTCCGACACTATTAGAGACGGAAAAAACGCTGCGATTCTGAGAGTAAAATGACGACAACAACAGCAAAACATCTTGTAACCTGTGCCCCAAAACAGACGTAGCTGTCGCAACCTAGGTGCTGCACCCCCAAAACCTTACTCAATGGCAAAAAAATGCCCACCAATGAGGCTCTTACCGATCGTCGTCGCAGAGGCGGCGAAGGTCCACTGGAAGAGCCAGTTCGCGTACGACAAGGCATCGAAGTCCCCGGTGCTCGTGCCGTACAGGTCCTCGCCCTTCAGGGCGAAGCCGGTGACCCCAACAAAGCCTCCGCTGTCCCGCCCGAAGGCTAGCCCGTTACCAAACAGCCACCACCCGATCGCCCCCATCGCCGAGTCTCCGATATTCTGACAATTGTTTATTGGGGGGGAAGGGACGCACATATTTTCGCACGGTCATTGAACCATTTTCAACTGGGAACATCGCTCATACTCCCTGCTAACACAAACCTACAGTAGGTACCCTGTCGACGACGACATGGCATCACACTTCGCGTGTTTCGATCCTACTGTAGATAGAGTCTCGCTCGAGGGGCTGCTTTGCACCAGGTGACGGAACCGTCATCACGAATTAACTGTACAGTGGCACATCGCCATCCACGCGCCGACGGACGAACCTTGATGAGGATGTTCTTGGTGTTCTTGATGCTGACCGACCCGACCTCCAGCATCGCGAAGCCAGCCTGCGGGAAAAGGTTAAAGGGTTCAGGGTGTTCCACCGGCATGCAGAACGCGATTATGTAAGAGGCGGCAACAGCAAGGAGTGGGTCAGGTCCATTATCGAGTCAAACGGTTATGGTTCATCGAAACGCCGCACTCTTGAAAACTCTCAGGCGGAGCAACGGTAGTTGTTTGATCCAAGATGACGACAGTGAGAACCTTGTCCCAAACGCCCCAAGATCAATAGCTCTCGTTCTACCTCTATTTCTGCCTCTCTCTGCGTGTCTCTCTATTTCTTTGTGTGTGCATGGCGGGCCGGTCGGGATCGTCGCGTACACCTGACGTAGGATATGCGTGCAACAGAAAACCGATGCACTTCTTAGAGCCACCGTGTTTGCCCTCCCATCTACATCGCATTCCTCGAGCTCCCGGTACTTTTTTCTCTCTCTTGTTGGCAACGTTTCTCGTCAGTAACCATCGCGTGACATGGAGGAAAGCTCTTACATTCTCGTTTTCGGATACTGGCTGCAGGTTCTTCACCAGAAACCAAACGACTCTAAAAAAAAACTCAGGGTTCTACGCCCAAGGGGAGCTTGATGTTGACGGGGAAGGCGGAATATCGATGACGAAAAGAAGGTTCTCAACAACAACACGGCCTGTTCAGTGCAGCGATATCATCCGGCATCACAAGCCCCGTTGCCCGTAGCAACCTGTCGGGTACACACGCACACACGCTGAAGTGATGGCTCACACTTCCCCCCCCACCTACTCCTGTGTGTGCATGCTCCTCGACGTCTCTCCTTGAAGCCTTTGCTTGCTCCATCCTTGTCGAAATACCGTAGCTGGTAAAATGCACACCTAGAAACTACCCCCACCCCCCACCCCCCCCGGTGTTTGCCATTGGGGTTGGGTCTTGGTCGCTTGGCAACGACGTTGTGAAACAAGCCAATTCACTTCGTGGACTCGGCAACCAGGATACCGTTTTTTTTTTTTTACCTCTGTTTATTTTTGGCGGTAACCATAATTGTGGTCGAGTGGATCATGTTGTGCGGGGTCGAGAACCCTCACTCCGCGCAAGGGGGATGATCGCACCACGGTGAGTTAAAATGGTCAAGCGCCCTCGAGGCAGTTACACAGTGCTTACAACTGTCTCAGGAAGTGAAAGCACCAGAAAATATATTAAGTCATACGCAGCTGTCATCCGTACGCAAGG